ATTTATTGTAAAATATTCACTCAGACTCCAAGAAATAGAAAAATTATGAGTTTTCCGGTTTTTTTTTTTTTAAAAGAAGTTTACTGCATATATAATTTCCCATCCACCTCAGGTGTGTGTGTGTGAAAAACTGTCACCAATTCTCCATATTGACTATGGTGAAGATTGCTTGAGATTAGCAACAGGTTATTTTTCTGGGTTTTATTTTTTAATTTGATTTTTTTTTGAGACTCCTCAATCCTGAATTGGCCCTTCAGTAGAAGACCCAGAAGTCTCAGAAGACCAATTTTAATAACTACTCAAACCCAATGGTTGTTTGAGCTGCTGGGGGAGGGGGCATATCCACATTTGGCTGGATAACACCATACCTGAAAGGAGGGTGGGGGGGAAGAAAGAGAAGCAAAGCTTCTGTGAAGAAAGAACATTCCCAATTAGACCAATGCTGGAGTTCAATGCTCACCGCCTTGGAAGATGCGTATGGTCAGATTTATGCTTGTGCAGAAACCGGAGCAAAAGATGGAAGAGGAAGTTGTGGCTTATACTGACCCTGGAGCTGCCTAGAGCCAGTTTGGCCCCAGCTGCTAATTAGTGCAACTCAAGACTTCCATGGCTTGGTGGCAGTTATGGGGACAGATCACCCTGGCCACACCGCTCCCAAATCCTGAACACCCCCTGTGCCAACAGAGTAAGCACAGTGTCAGCAGGCAGGGCTTAGACCCGGGAGGGGGAGGTGTTCACCATCCTCTGCAGTATGGGGCATGGATCACTTGCAGGTTTAAACTAGTGTAAATGGTGGATTCTCTGTAACTTGAAGTCTTTAAACCACAATTTCAGTAACTCAGCCAGAGGTTAGGAGTCTATTACAGGAGTGGATGAGTGAGGTTCTATGGCCTGTGATGTGCAGGAGGTCGGACTAGCCGATCATGATGGCCCCTTCCGGCCTTAAAGATTATGAGGGCTTCCTGGCACCAATGAAATCAAGTTCTGACAACCCTAGTTTCTCATACTCAAATCACTGCTGCTGACCTTAGTGGTTGACTGGCTTCACAAAATGTCCTTGTTTGTTAACACTGGCTAGGCCATGAGGTCTGGCATATTGCACGCCCACCCTTCACTTTTGCTGTGTAAACAGCTGTCTCCTGATTTACAGGACAGTCTTCTCTTCATGTCCCACAATTTCAGTTACAATTACATGTGTACAATATTTAGGAGAGTGAACTACACATAGATCAATGAACTATTACTACAAAGCTTACTCCTTACTTCAGTCAGACATACAATTCCATGTGAATAGGAAGCAGGGCTTTTATCAGTAAACAGCATGTCTTCAGCCTTATTACATTTTAGGTATTGGTACCAGTTAGTGTCCAAAACTATATACACAGCCAGCACTGCCAGGATCCAGAGGTTCACAACATGCAGTTTTGTTGCAGTTGCTAAATCAGAGTAATCCGCTAACATAGAACGTCACTTAGCCATTGTTCTGAAACATGACCTAATTTCCTGATAAGTGAGAGGTGTTTTAGCTTTGTAGCTGTGCTCCAGTTGTATATGTATCTAGACCTGGATAGACTAAAAATAAATCAAGGATTTTCTTTTTATGCTAGACTTAATCAAAGCAGACCAAAGTCACCATTTGCATCTTCAGCTCCCATCCCTACCTGTATTGTAGTAATTTCATGTAAAAGACCAAGGTTCTGATGTGTGACGTTACCATTCCTGTCAAAACCATGAAGAGTTTATTGACTAATCTATGGCCGTTGTTCATCTTTTTAAGTCTCAGGCCACTTTGTAAAACAAAAATCCTGCCATGGACCCACTTTTCCCCAAGCGCCACTCAGAGAATTTCCATTGTATGAACTAAGTAGGTGGTTTGTGTGGATCACTGATGTTCCATGGACCACTGGGCCACTGTTGGGGGAGGAAGAGCTCAGATGATTTCTTGCTGAATACTGAAGTAACATTTTAGTGCAGGTGGCCCAGTGTAAACTTTGCACCATGAGCACATCATCAACATGCCAGATCTGGAGGACCACACCCAGTTTACATATACACATTTACTTTCAAAAAAATTTGCACATACAGTATTTGCTTATACTTGCAACTGTTGATCGAGTATTAGAAACTGAGTTCACCAGCAAGCTATCCAGACAATGACTAAACTGGATGGGGAGGAAAGAGAACCCTTTGGATACATGTAAAGAGTTAAAGGTTGTAAACCCTACAAAGGGAAGAAATTGTTGGGGGTGGTCCAACTTCACTTATATTTGCAGCTTCCCTGATAAAAGGATTAAAAGCTCACTAACAATAAATACCTTGGGCTTCCCCCCCACAGAAGATTCACTGGTTTAACTAAAGATATTATGTGGCACTGAGGTAGTTTTAACTGGTGTAGCTTTGTTTTTAGAGCAGTCCCTGACAAATTGCATCCTCAGTTATGAGAAGGTCAAAGGTGGCACACAAAAATCCTAAAGGGCATTGCACAATGAACATCACCACTTTGCCATCTCATTTCAGCAGGATTTCTTTTTCAACAAAGTAGCTGTGTCCACAACTTGCAAGTGGCATGGTAGATACAAAAGTGAAAACTGAACTTGTAGAATCCAAGTCATTTTGGCTCTAAATGAGCATTCTTGTGTTTTTCACACCTGTTCTACAACTAAAATGAGGAATACTGCTGTCCAGTCACCCTATTTTCAAATGAAAATTGGGAATAAGGATGTTAATGGATTAATGTATTTTTAAGACACACACACAAAAAAAGGACCATTAGGAGCATCAAAAGTCAGACCTTCTTGCATGACACAGGCCATAGAATTTCACAGAATGATTGAGGCATCTAGCCCAATAACATGCTTAAACCAGAGCAGAACTTTTAAGGGGTATGCAAGTCTGGATCTTTAGCCCTTTCTCTGTAACGTTACCCTTTTATGATTCGACTACACAGGACTGAAATACCCAGATCTGCCACAGACATCCTGTGTGATTGACCTTGCCTAGATTAGTAAGGGTCTATGCCTCACTTCTACACAAGCTGTAAAAATCCTCCCGGGGTGCTGCAGGTTACATTTGTAGGACACTTGCATTTGAGAATCCTCAAGGTGTTCTTGCATACCATGACACAATGGATCTGCTCTTAGGGGTGCAGCTAGATCACTGGTTCACAGGCTATAAAAGCAAATCAGACAGAGTGGTAAAGGTCAGGTATGGTAATAGCCCTGCTTTACTCCTAAAATAAAAGATGTACAGATTTTAATTATGGCTGGTCAAAAATCCAACAGCAAACCACTCATGAACAAATTGTGTCTGTTAGATAATCTTAGCCAGTGCCATCACTCACATCAGATAGCTGAGTAACCGTACACAGAGATGTGGTGGACAAATACTTGTCTAGTTTGTGGGATAGTTTCCACCTAATAGAAAGGGACAAAAGAGGAAAGATTTTAGGGGATTCTATAGTTCACCTAGTTTGGGGCAAAGTCTTTCCTAGGAGATGCTGCTCCTGCTACCACCTCCTCCATTTATCAAGACACAGAGATAATATTTGTCTGGATGCTGTAGTGGCTGTGCAAGGAACTGACACCTGAGATAGTAAAACCACCCACAAAACTGCTTTCTGGCACTATTCCAATGCACAATTCATGTCTCCAGGACTGTCCAAACTCTGGGATCTCCCTCAGCAATTCTCCCCCTCCCCCCCCAACAAAATCACAGCCATCACAGACAGAATAAGCTAGACAATCGGCACTGAATGAGACTATGGGGGGCAGGGAAAGAGGATTACAAGTTATGTCAGCACTTCCATAAAGATTTTGCAGTGAACAAAGTGAACTTTGTCCCCTTCAAGGCAAAAAAAAATAAAATAAAACAACCAACAAGAAAAAAAAATTCTGTGGCTCTAAAGTTTTACCTAGGAGAGTTTGCACGGGTGCGGGAAAGCTTGGTGCTGCTGAAAAGTATGGACCAGCTGGCTACCACCAGAAAGGGAATTTTGGGAAGTGGCTAAGCTCTGGGAGGCTGCAGTCACAGGCACTTCATTAACAAAGGGAGCAAGAAAAAGATCCAGTTTATGGGACTTCTGTGGAGCCCCATCACAGCAGCCTCCCGGGTTCTAGGGATTTGAATGTGAGGAAGCACTGGCCAAGACAGCATCTCTTACCGGCAGGCTAATACACATTCGGGGAAGGGAGTGTTTCCAAGCCCAAAAGCAACAACAACAAAAAAAGGCAGAAAAACAACCCCCGCCCCCCCCCCCCCCCCAAGTCTCAAGCATCTTGAAGCAGGATCAGAGGAGGCTCCCTCCTCCCCCTTTCTGAGCTAGGGGAAGGGGATGGGTGAGGAAAACCCTTTAAAGCACAAAGCCTGGAGCAGAACTTACTGCCATGCCCACCCAAAAGTCTCCCACTCACTCCAGCTCTGCTGAAAGCTCACATCACCACCACCACCACCCCCATTATGTTAGGAACGCCTCCCCCAAAGCCCCACACAGGCTGAAATACAACCAAAAACATGCGATTGCTGGAGAATAAAGTAAACAGTGATCCAAATACAAAACACCGCATATTAGAGACAAAAACGTTCTTTTCTTCTGCTAGAGCAGCTCTCATTGATTTTTTTTTTTTTTGGCTTATTGAAGGAGATTAGATTTCCTCCTGCAGGCGGGTCAAAGAGAGAAAAGGGTTGAAGGTAAGGGGGAAAAAAAACAAAACAAAACTTTGTAACCCAACACTTCCATGCACGATCAGTCGCCATGCTTAAGATTTTCTCCCCCTTCCTCGTTCTTTGAGCAGACACTGAAACTAGGCCAAAAAAACTTTTCCCTGCCCCTTCTTTTCTTGTAGCCACTAGAGTGAAATGTGCACAAAGAGACCCGTGGAGCTATGTTTTCTTAACTACAATAGCAGGACTAATTAGATCATAGAAGCAAGGCAGTGATACAGTAACAAGTAGCTAAACAACAAGACAGAGCGAAGGAGAAAGTTTGCACCTTGAACACTTACCAATCAGACCTCCCACTAGAAAGGCGATGACTTGGAAAATCAGTAAGATCCCTCCAACAATGCACAGCTTTTTAGTGCTCATGTTTTCTATAATTGCCCCAGCCATTTTTTAAAAGATTTCCACGCGCCCCCCCTTCTCTCTCGCTGCAAAACTTAAGGCTCTGAACGTGCTGCAGGGATGGAAAGAAGACAGACTCAGCACAGATTGCCCAGGCACGCCCGGATCTGGCTCCCCCTCTGCTGAGAGCTGTGATTGTGGCCGGCTCTCGGCTGCATGTGGCTGCTTTAAAGGAGCAGGAAAGCGAATCACATGATACCTACCTCCTCCTCTCCACTCCCCCCCTTTCCCTCCCTGATCCATTCAGCAGCAGCAGACATTGGTGTCAGTCTCATGCAGCAGTGGCAGCTTCTTCAGCTGCGGGAACAGCCAGAGCTGCCCAGTCAAGGGTTGCTTGTTTTGGTTTTTGAATAGCACAAACACAGAAGTTGGAGGTAGAAGGGCTAGTCCAGTCCAGGAGTGTCCCCTTGAGAGTGTTCTCTAGGGCCTTCCCCAGTGCAGTTTTAAGGGTGAGGTTTGTACTAGCCTAGTAGGGTTTTTTTCATAATGCATAACAAACACTAAGTGCTTTCAGTGCTTAGCATTATCCATTGTTTTAATAACATTATGTTCTATTTTAGCACCTTTCAAAAGGAGGATTTCAAAGCACAATGTATGGTAAATAAAGGATGCCCCAGTGGATAAGGACTTTAACACATCACTGAAAGGACTTAATATGCTGTTGAAACAGTCACCCTGGGGCAAGATGCAGACTTCCTTTAAGGGTAAACATTAACACCATAAATGAACAGACTTAAGAATTTTAATTTTATTAAAATGATGTTAAAAAGAAAATGATACAGAGTTTAAGCATAGAAGTTTCTGTTTATCAGGGAATAACGTACAGATTACCAAGGGGCATGAAGTTTGGTTTAGGATCGGATGGTATAAGGAATAGATAATCTGCAATATCCCCAATTGGGGGTAAAAGGTTAGCGGGTCAAAGTACAGACATTGAGATAGGAGGGTATTTTGTTCATATAATGGCTGTGTATCCATCTGTAGCCCAGTGGGCCATCTTACCTGTATTATATTCATTGCTTTGTTATTCTGTTTTATTATATTTAGCAGTAATACAAGGAAGCTACAGGCTTTTACCCTGTAAAATTTGGCTTTAGCAGATGGCATGAGGCTTGAGGCCTATAACCTTTGGAATAGATAAATTTAAGTAACTCGTAAGCTATAGGGAAGTAGCATGCAAGAGGGGGAATTTTGTCCAGAATACCGACGTCAGCCACCCACAGAACATAGCTGATACCAGAATCCAGAAGGTTCCGGACAGAACATCTGACCACAAAGGCACCATGACAACAAATTGACATGTATGCTAATAGAGTAACATCATACATATACTAACCTATAGAAAACAGACACCTTAAGGGGAGGAAATACAAATAAGGACCTCTACTGAACATGCATTGGACATGGTAATGTCAGCGTAACCTACTATAAAAGTAATATCCCAGGGGTAGCAAAGGGAGAGATGTAGACCTTGGGAGGGGCCAGAATGATGGCCATGAGGAAGATGAGGATGGTGACAGCGATGAGAAAGATAATGGTTAACATTCCAAGGTGTAAGTATGTACTTCTTTATTATCTCTATCTGCTTTGTTGAGTTTAAGTGTGTGTATAACTTTGCTAAATTATTAATAAATCATTTATCTTTATATATATATGTAAAGTTCCTATAGTGTGAGTGTTCCACCTGTGCACATTGGGGTTCCCAAATTATATGTTAATTTTACAATAATCTAACTGGGCCTGATCTTGGGACAAGAACCTGTTAATCCTCAAATTACAATTGTATACACCCAATTTTGGGTCAGGCTACTCATCTGATACAGCAGGAAGAGTTTAGATGAGTCATAATGTGAATTAAGTTGAAATTTAGTCAGGATGCCAAAAATCATACACCTAAACAAAACAAGTTCTTCAGTGTCCACAAGCAGTAAGGACAGTTGCCGCTCCAAATAAAGACAGCAGTAAGTTTTCTATGATATTCAGTTTCTTCCCAGTTATGCCACCATCAAATAAAGGCTCTCTCTCTTTAGTGTTCAGGTCCTTCAGATGCTACAAGGCTATGTCTCCTCCTCCAATTAATGATACTTTAGCCAAAGTACTTTCCTTACTTCAATTCCTCCAACCATTTAATTATTTTTGTTGCTATCCTTTGAATTTCCTCCAAACTACATACAAAGTTTGGAGGTGCCCAAAACTGAATGTAGCATTCTAGCTGCAATCTCACCAGTGCCACAGAGAGGGCTTATCACTAGCTGGTCTGTGACAGTACGTTTGCTCACATGTTGCCATATCACAATCTAGAATTAATTCACTCTGTTCACCGCTGCCCTCATTAGTGGTTTCTGGCATTACTGGTTTTCAGTTATTTATGGGATTCCACAGGGACCACTGTTAACCCTGATTATTTAACATCTTGATACTTCTGAGATCTTTAATAAACAGAACATTACCATTTACAGATTAAACTAGATTGGGAGCTGTTGAAAACATCTTTGAGAACATAAACAATACAAAAGGAACAGAAGAGATAGGAATATAGGCAAGGCATATCACAATGGGAGCCAGTTGGGCAAATATGCAAACAGCAAGCTGTAAGAATAATATCCTGAAACATTATATATAGTCAATGAAATGGAGGTAGCTGGGAAGCAGTAATAGCACAAGATACCAACAGAGTTGATAGTAAAATTAGATAAGCGTTTGCATTGCAATATGGCTGCAAAAAAAACCCCCATACACGTGTATTCACTTTTCTTTGGGACAAAGATCTTATCTATGTGAATCTGAACAATGAAGCCATTGGTCATTCAATAATACAGATAATTAACACCTCAGAACCAGAAAGACAAGAAGTTAGAAAGAATTCAGAGAAGGGCAATAAACCAGAGTAAGGGTCTGGAGGGACTGACTTGTGAGGAAAGATTACAGTAAACTACAAAGAGCCTGGCCAGTTTAGGCTGATTAATTCTTGGCCAATTAGTATGAGGTGATGTGGGGGCACATGTTAACTTTATATAAGTAGAAATCAAGGTGGGGAGAAGAATTGTTTTGGGCGGTCTAACCAGGGGTAATTTTTCATGTACTTTTATCTTCCTTAACAGAGATTTAGAAATCGTCCATTCACATGTAAGAATGTGTCCTCCCTTTCAGATGTAGTTGCAGGATCAAGGCTTAAATAACTTCAGTTAAATCCTATCCTTTGTACTATTTTCTTTAACTAATAAGGGAATCTGCTTTCCAACCAACATATTCCCTCATTAAGGGAGCACTGGCAAATTGCACCTAATGAACTTAGAACTCAACTTCCTTAATTCCAGGTTCATTATATGCAAGATGGTACTGATGCAGATTATTCAGACGTCTTATGTTAGCAAGGACAAGTGAAAAAAATAGAAGAGTGACACTGGAGACCAGCCAACAGTGTAGTGAGGAACTTTGGATTCACTAAGCATTAGATTGCCTTCTGTGGTACGGATTGTGTGTCAGGCTAACAACCTGTCCATGCAAAAATGCTTTCTGTTATGGAAACAAGCCAGAGAGACAAGACGCGTCTGTCCCAGATTTGCAAATACAATCATCAACTGTGGAGAACCACGATCTGCTGGATGTAAGACAAGATAGTACTGGCCAACCAGCAAATCCAGCTGATGCTTGGATGATGGAAAATCAAAGCCACAAGTTCTTCATCTGAAACAAGGTAACTTCACAGCTGAGGTTAAGACAAGAATTGGGAGTTGGAATGTTAGATCACTTTGAAGCACAGATAGAATGACACAAGTTATCAGATAAATGAAAATTTTTGGCCTAAGTATACTTGGGTTGATTGAAATCAGGTGGACTGAACAAGGCAAATTATTGTCTGAAGGTGTGATGGCTTTATATTCTGGAAGAGAGGATGACAACTACTGGGAAAGTAGAGCCTTATTATTTTGCAAGAAAGCTGCTAAAGCACTGAAGGAATGGGAATCTGTAGAGTCAGGAATATTGACTTCTTGCTTTGTGATGAACCGTGCAACTCAGTGTTATGTACCAACAGGCAATAGTAATGAACAGACTATTTCTATGCAAGGTTGCAGAGCATCCTTGGAAGATCAGTAAATATGACATTGTTTCCTTGTGGGAGATCTAAATGTACAGCTCGGTGATGATAATACTGGATATGAAAGCATTATGGGCAGACATGGCATCCCAGGACAAACTGACAATGGAGAACACTTTGTTGAACTCTGCAACCTGTGCAATCTTTGCCCTGAGGGGTACACTATTTTCACCCAAAGACAGACATAAACTGACGTGCAGATCAAATGATGGCTTCACCCACAAACAGCTTGACCATATTGCTGTTAGTAGGTGCTGGAGAAGATCGCTGTTGAACTCTAGAGTGTATATTAATGCTGATGTCAGAAATGATCACCATCTTGTTATTGAGTCAATCAAAATAAAACTAAAGAAGGCAACATCATGCAAGGCAGAAGGTATGTGTATGATACTAGACATTTAGCAGATCCACCAGGGGAGGTGTATTTCAAGCTGCAGCTTAACAATAGATAGATCTGAAGAGTTAAAAGAAGCTGATGGAAGACACAAAAGAACAACAGCAGTTTTTCAAAGAAGTAAGTGTGGATGGAGACAGGACTACAATGGGGATGGAAGGTCTAAGGGCTAGTCTACACTGGCGGTGCTTTAATGTGCTTTGTGTGGTCACGGCGCAGCACTAGGAGAGAGCTCTCCCAGCACTCTAAAAAAACACCTCCAAGAGGGGCGTAGCTCCCAGTGCTGGGGCACGATCTACACTGGTGCTTTACAGCGCTGAAACTTGCTGTGCTCAGGAGGGTGTTTTTTCACATCCCCGAGCGAGAAAGTTGAAGCACCATAAATTGCCAGTGTAGACAAACCCTAAGAAAGAATGGCTCCAACTAAATACATGAAAAGAGGAACGAATTAAAGAAAATAATTCAACAAGAACAAGATGGCAGTAAGAGCTATACTGCCACAAGAATATGTGGACAAAGACAAGGAAGTTAAAAGATCATCCAGAAGAGAATGGATGGAAAATTAAGCCAGAGAAGTTGAAGAGATGTACAAGAGAGGGGATTCTAAAAAGATTTTGCTAGTATCTAAAAAAATCACATCACAACTCTTGAACCTTGTAGTGGCATTGT